GGACTAGATGACCTTTAAAGGTCCCTTCCAACCCAAACTATTCTATGATTCTATGAAATGAGAACAGTTTTTGCCAACAGAGCCTTGCCTCTGCAGCCTTCACGGTAAGCTGCCCATGACATGCCAGCTCACACCATGGTGCATTGGAAGTGGTGTTTTCTTGGTCGATAGCTAGCCAAATGCCTCAGCTGCTCATACAAATGGTTCAATGCAAATCAATGAGATTTTCTAGACACAAGCAGTTAATATTTCAACAAGCAACTGCAGATAAAATTGCTGTGTCAGATTTCATGGCAAAGAGAGCTGTTGCTCTTGTTCAGAAAATTCTGTGCCTGGAAAGTTTTCAGACCTTCCCATTTCAGTCATCTGAAAAATTCTGCTTTCAGATCAACTTTGAAATGTTTGGAGTCTCTGCATGCCAGTCTTTTTTGGCATTGTTTTTCTAGTTTGGAAGAATCAAAGATGAAACAGGGTGTTTTCTACCCCCTGGCAAACCTCAGGAGGCAGGTTACTGCTACAGACTTTGCTCTGGTTCTGTAACTGTCCTGATGTGTATAACTGTGTATTAGGATAAGAGGTCACTACTATCATTCAGGTCTTTCTGAGAACCTTCTTGCAGGATGATCTATTTACACAAGCATGTTCATGCGTGTGTGGATGCATTTTGGTTTTCCAGCTGATTTTTCAAGGAGAAGTGGGCCTTTTGCTGCACAGTGTTCCCTTCCCTTCATGCAGAATTTGTCAGATTCCCAGAAAATGTCTACCTTGAAACATGTCAGTCCAATAACAGTGAAAAAAGCAGATTAAATTTTGCACCATGGTTTGATTCAACAAACCATATTTTTTAAAGAAATAACTTGATTCTGCTGTAAAAAAACATGCCGGCAAAGCACAGCAGCTTCTTCCGTCTCTCTCAGCCCACATGTCTGCCATTTTTGCCCCCACTCTCCTAAATATGTCTATGTCACCCAAAGGACGTAGTCCTGGGCTTTTGGCCAATATCCTGGGCTTGAATTCCCACATAGAAAATCATTTACTTAGGAAAATAATGTCATGTGGCAGCCGGTAGGCACAATACTACCTCTGCTGCCAGAATGTACTGACTCTAAATGAAGCTGTGGCAGATGGCCTGAAATGTTTCAGTGCTTTCTTTCTCTAGACCAGGATTACCCAATTAATTTGTACTACAGTGCATTGGGTTGTTTTACCAGGTTCTCATCAGACGGGTGGGATGCACTGGATCTAGCTTTGCTGGACCAAGCAGGGTCTGCAGGTGGGGTAAGGGCAGTGTACAGCCGAATCCCTGGGACAGCAGGCTCCTGGTGGGGCCAGGTGAGTGGGAAGAAATATGGGATCATCCCTCAGGACAGCAGGGACAATGTCTGTTGGAACGAGAAGAAATGGACTCCTGGTTCGGATTGTGACTGAGTCCACCATTTGAGCAGCCCTGTTTTAAATAAGGGTGGCATTTTACTTGGTAATGATGCTTTTATGCACACTATATCTGCAAAAGTAGCTTTATGTTACTGTTTATTGAGTGTTGTCCTCATGCGTGGTACTTGGTAGGTAGAGCAAAAGGTCAGTAGAACCTTTCTGTTGTCGTGATTAGAGAAATCCGTAAGTGAACAAAAAGGTTATTTTTGTTAAGAAAGTGATGATGCATAGGGAGATTTGGTATAGCTTAGGGAAAATAATATGGGGAAGAATAAGAAAGAGTCAAATATGACATCGAGATTTTGCGGGGTTGGACAGAGAGAGGCTAGTGCAATCATTTTTTAGTGTGGCAGAATAGTTGGCAGAGAAAAAGAGCAGCTATCGTTTTGCTAGGTTTATTAGAAGGAGTGACTTTGAAGTGTAACCTCGTAAATACACTCCATCAAACCAGAATTAGGCCATATTACTGGAATAGCTCAAGGAACATGTCCTTGTCTGTTCTATCCTCTTCTCTGGGTACGTGTTTTCACTCGGTTAAGAAAAGTTAGTGGAACTGCATTTAAAAGTGTTGTCACTTCACAGTCTGTCACAGGGCTTTTGCCAGCTCCCTTCATAAGGAGTTGGTGCCTAGAACTGTGCCAGCTGGTTGATCTGATCATCCCATCACTTTACTAGAAAATCTAAATATACAGCAGTACGAGCTGAAATATGTCTGCTGTCCTGTTTTGCAACTGTTCTGCATTTGAATGAAGAACTACTTTTGCAGTAAAGCGGTACTGAAGCTCTCTCTATCTTTCTGTTCTATAGGTTGTCATTTTGTATTTTGAGCCAAGTGTATTTCGCTGTGTTCTCCTAAGATGGGTTCGTCTTCTGGGCTTTGCTACTGTTTATGGAACTGTGACGCTCAAGCTGCACAGGTATTTCACATATTATTAATTTCCATCTCTCTGGGAGTATGTGCAATCTCTGTGGGTACTTAGATGGAAGAGCTGCAAATATTATCATAAAGAAGCGCTGTTTCTGATTTTTAAAACCACTGTGTATTTCTCCTCACTATTCCTGCTCAAATTATATGCTACTAATCCCAATAGAGAACTATGAATGCAGACAGGATTTGATGAAAAATACATGTCAGCTGTAAAACTGTGCAAGAACCCCTTTTTACAGAAGGTGAATGTATTTTACTTGGATATAGGAAAATACAGAAGTGTTCACAGAGTGTTCAAACGTGTTCAAAAGTTTCCCTGTAAAGTGTTCATAGAGAGATTCTTTCTAAGTGTTTAGATACAGCGATGGTGGGTAAAACAATACACTATAGTGTATATACTTTGTTTTCTTATGGCTCAGAAGTCAAGGGCTGCTTTCTTCAGGCAATCACAGCAGACAGGCTGCACACTCATGAGCATCAGTGCCTGCCAGCAAAAATGTGTGGGAAATTCTGGGTTCCACAGGGTTGGCAGTGCATTCATGTGCGATTCAGACATTAAGATTCAGAGACCCAACTTCAAGTTCCACTTCTACAGTCCCCTTTAAAATTGAAGCCTTTTCTGGCTATGCTTGATAAAATCCTAATGCTTTTTCCTCTCTAAACTTTAGTGAAAAAACTTACTGATGCATTCTGTAAGTATTTTTATTGAAGCAAAGAGAAGTGCAGTATGTGTTTATTGGTACTTAGACATCTTGGATGAAGTAGGCTTGCTCTTCTTTTTATCTTAGTTTCATTACGGTGTTGGCATGTTAGATAAGGGAAGTTTGATATTATGCTGGTAAACTGAATGAGGACTGCTAATATCTCGTGTTTCATGTTGCACTATTGGCTTGTCATGTTTTAGGTGGAAAACCTGGCTTTCCCATTGAAATAGACCCTCTTCTTGCAGCTCCCTCTCATTTGTGTCCCTGGTTACAAGTGTACACTTTGGCTGGTAAACTCTTGACTGTATAGTGCTACGTCTGGCTACATCTTCACGTTGAAATTCATCCAGAAAATCCCATACCCTCAGGGTATTGAACTATTTCTGGGGTTGAACAATTTCTGATGCAAAAAGAATAACAACTAGAGCACTATAGAAAAGATGTAACAGAACTGGTGATTTTTCTTGGGTGGTTTGTTATCTATAGCTCAGATATATAGAGAAACAGACTAAGACTACGGAAGACTCACATCATCGTTGCAGTTCTGCTACCCTAACGGGTTGTTTATATGATTTTACATGGTGTGAGGAAGCAGTATCCTGACAGGGCAGATGATCTTCCATTCATATGAAGTGAGGACAGGCTGCAAAACTGGGCAGAAAATCTTCCACTTCTGCTTTGCTCATTCAGCTGTTTGGTGTTACTTGGCACCTGTGCTGGCAGGCTCAGCAAACAGGACCAAGACTAAACAAGAAACCAAGAATTAACTACATCCTCATCCTTGATCAGCACAATACAATGAAGGCTAGCAGCAGACTGGACTGTATCAACAGGACCCCAGCCAGAAGATTGAGGGAAGTGATTATTCTCCTTTACTCGGCATGCCTTAGGCCATATCCACAATGCTGTGTCCAATTTTGGACTCTCCCAAGACATCAGTGAACTTGAGTGAGTTCAGTGAAAGGCCATCAAGATGGTCAGGGCTTGGAGCACTTGCCCTGCAAGGAGAGGTTGAGGGAAAAGAGCTTGTTCAGCCTGCAGAAGAGATGGTGTTGGAGGGACCTAGCAGCAGCTATCCGACACCTACAGGGAGGTTACTGAGAAGATGGAGCCATGCTCTTTACAGTAATGTATACTGGGAGAACAAAAGACAATGACAAATTAAAATGGGAGACTGCAACTTTATACAATGTAAATTAGCATCAGGGTCAATGTTATACAAGGAAAACGTTTTCACTATCAGGGTAATTAAGCAGTGGAGTGGGTTGCCCGTGAGGTTGTGAATTTCCATCCTTGGAGGTTTTCAAAACCCAACTGGATAAAGCCCTGCGCAGCCTGGTCTGGATTCAGTGTTAAGCCTTCTTTGAGCACTGGGTGACCTTATGAGGTAATTCCAACCTGAGTAATTCTACATTTCTTTGTGAAACATGAAGAGAAAAAAAAAAACCTATTTTGTATATTAATCTAGAATTACTTTCTCTAGGAATCTATCTTTGTTTTCCACCCAGGTTTCCTGACCATTCATTTCCTACATTCATGATATTGTGGTCTTTTTTTAGTACTGAATATTTCAGTCAGGGAGTGTGCCTTGCAAAAGACTGGGTCAAGTTAGATATATGTTTTATTATATATATTTGCAACAGTTATGCTAATTAAGAATAATACGCTAGTAGAAATTTGGTAGAAATTTCCGGCAGATCTAATTTAATCCACAGTCATTGCAGGGTTGAAGAATGGCTTACTGCAGACACCACAAATACTCACGAGAAGCACTGGTTCCCTCCTGCAGGTAGCCTGTGTCTTGCCTGGGGGAAGAACTGATTGCTAGCAAGAAACTTGTGATTTTTCTAAGTTTAATGGGAAAACCAATATTGTGTAAAACAGCTATTAATGATAACCAGAAAGTCTAAAGCAGTATTTCTCAACAAATGAGGTGTTTTGAATAGCGCTGGAGCATGAAGGTTATCCAAAGCCAGGTAGGAGGCACTGGAAACACTTGTTTTCTTGGTGGCTTTTTTTTCCCTTAGTTCCCCACTTCCCGAGGAGGTCTTTGAGGTTTCGTTAGGGTCAAGCATCAAGGAGAAATCAGAAAAGTAGCCAAAAGCAGATGCTTAAGGAAAAGTAAAAGAACAGGGACGTCATGTACTGATTCATTCTTTGAACACCCGTCTCAGTCAATTTCTACAGTGCCTCATCTTAAATTGCCTCTTTCTTATTCACTGTGCATTTTTAAAATAATGAGCTGATGTTTATGGGGGTGGAAGGATGAGGGTAAGGAAATGAGCTTAACTTAAGAAATCTAGCTGTAGAGCCGTGAACATAAAACTCAGTACTTTCCTCAACAATGAATTCTTCAAAGTAATTCTCGCAAGAAATAATGATGTTTCAAATTTAACCTTTTGGGTTTAAAAGAGCTGCTGATGCTGCATCTTTCAGTATATTTCTGTGACTGAAGACACTCTGTGTCCTTTTTCAAGCCCTGTATTTTATGAACAGGCTACCTCATTATTTTTAATATTTTGTGAATTTCTACCATCTTGGTGTCAGGATTAATACACAATCCTTAATTCTGGATTAAAGCATAAGCATGGAAGAAAGCTGTAGGTATATACATATAGACATATGTATGTGTGTGTGTGTGTGTATACACAGGATAGCTTACAGACATTTTAGGAGAATGAAACCCAGGAATGAGGTCTCTAGTTGGTGGGAGTATACATTTCTTACATTACTAAGAGAAAAAGAGGAGAGTGCGGAAGTGAGGAGAATGAGAAGGTATGGAGAAGGTCATGTTCCAGATATGGAAAACAAGACAATGACACACAATGGCTTTTTTGTAAGCAGTGATGGTGGGATGGGCGTGTTCTGGGGGGACAAGAAGATGTTAACCCTATGGGGCAATTCTGCACTTCATCTAAATGCTGTGCTAAGATTACATTGCCATGCCTTGCCATCTGGTACAGTAGGAGTAAGTAGTGGCCCTTCCTACAGATATTTGTAGGTGATAAAGAAAGGAGGAGAAGAGCAATATGGGTAGTGTGCAGTGCAGCATGTCACATGTCGTGGTTCAGTATCTTACAGAAGAGGAGACTCATGCTAGCAGAGAAACTAAAGAAGATGTCTGTTTGCTTCTTGAAGCACTTGGGTGGAGGTGTGCATTGATGGTGAGAACATGAAAGAGGAGGACATGGCATAATCTTCTCTTGTAGCTAGGGGAGGGAAAAAACATACAGATGATCCCATCCAGAAGTGGCTGGTGGGAATGTGGTGCAGAAAGGTACAGAAGGTACCTCGGCAGCTGGAGCCTGTACAGCTTGGGTGAGTTCCTAGCCCAATATTTCACAGTTCATGTGCCAATAGATCATAGTTCCATAGTACCAACACGCCACGACCCAATGTTTCCATGAGAAGGGGTACTTGTGATGAAGCACCTCAGAGAGAAGTTTTGTCTTGGAGTAGTGGTTACTGTATAACCTCAGCTTAGGTGGGCAAGGAAGGTGAGATGGGCATTGGCTGTAGTGGTGAGCCACCCTTTGTTTTTGAAATGAGTCAAGCCCTCATGGTCATTTTGGTTGAACACTCCAGAAAAGTGGGAGGTTTAATTTCTATCAAATTATTTGCTTTTTTCTTATGGAAGGCAAGTGTGAAGTGGTTTCAGGTAGATGCATACACTGTTGGATTTTGCCACTGGATGTGGTCTGTAGTGGTTGTTATCCTATGTGAAACAAAAGGGGGGGAAGTTGTTTTGGAGACAGATGTTGCTGTTGCAGAAATGCAGTGTCCTGAGCTCTGGTCTGATACTGCCTTGTAGAATTGTTTGGGTTTTTACTGCTTTAACTTGACTGGCAGGAATAGGTGTTTGAGTCTGTTTGCAAGGCAGGAAAAGGGGTGGTTTAGTCAAGCTGTAGAGCTGGTTACACCGTAGGGGCTTACTGTAACCATTCTGACCGTTTGTCTTTCTCTTCCCTGGAAGTAGCGTGTTTTAGCACCTAAGAAGTTTGATCTTTGTTATATTTATGCAGCTCTGTTCATTTTGTAAATCCAGTTCCTGTGATCTGTAAATCAGATGGTTGTTGGCAATGCTCAGGGGCAGCTATTCCTGTTTATTATATTCCCACGAAATAAATCACAGCATCAGCTGCAAGAAAGCCAAGTGATCTGTCACTGTGAACTCCCCTCTAAAGACCAACCATCCTGAGACAAACTTGCTGCAAACACTAAAGGTGTATGTTGTAGGATATATTCCATGGTTCTTTGTGTTGAAACTTACTATAAATCTCCCCCA